TTTAGGGGGGTTTAAGCCTTGTGTGTCTCTCTTCTGGATTGGAAAACGTTCAACAATATCAGAAAATTTCCCCTACAAAGGTTGATCGCGTTTTTACAGTACTCTCGCGTTTCGTGAGCTAGCAAACTGAAATCTGAGCTGGATATGTTGTAGTAAAAGTATCTGAGAGATCGTTTTTCACTTTGAAATATTATAGGCATTTTTATGAAATGCCAATATCGGAAGAGAGATTGAATGACTTGTATGTTTTTCATTATAAAGAATTTTTTTTACGGTACTCATTTAATTTTGAAGAATTAGTAATAGATTTACTGAAATGTCAACAACAGAAGACTCAATTTAATTTATGTAGATCATGTGGTATAGCCTGTTCTTCCGGGGAGATATTCGATATAAATATTCTTAATTGTGACTTAAAATCAAATACTAACATTTCTCTCAATGCCTAACATTGTTTGATCCTGTAAACTTTGTGTGCCCTCTCCTGTTCTAATTCCAGAGCCGCCACTGCCCTTTTGTAGCTGCTGCACACGCAACCGATCGTCATGAAAGAGCTCTCTAAAAGAAAGAGAAATTTCACGGAAGTGACAATTGCAACTTTGACTTTAAAATATGAAGGATTAATTTTAAAAACGCATTTATGTAACCGCGACGATTCAGTCAGCTATTAGTTATTAAAAATATTCAAACAAAGCGCTAGGGACTTAAAAAGCTAAAACACTTTGAGTCAAAATAACATCAAAGAAACGTTGTCTCACACCGTAATCTACAGGATCTTTGGAATATTTGCCTATAATGAAATTGATACTCGAATCAGTCTGGTTTTTGTCACTTACTTATATTTATATACGGAGGGAATATATTTTTACGGCCGTTGTCTATAATTACAAACGCTGCTACGTAGAAATGATTAATCGTCAGGTTCAAGTATGACAGCTCACTACAAAATATCCACATTACAATACAGTATCCATTATTTTTACACCACCTTGCCAGATGACATTAAACGATTAAAAAATCGGATTCAAAGTTTACGTCCAAATTTGTTAAAAAATTATTTTTCAGCTGGGCACCAACGGTTTTTTATACAATTACCCGAAAAGGCGCAAAAAAACAAAATAAAAAAAAAAAAAAAAACCCCAATTTCTCTTTCTTTTTTTCCTTTTTTTTGGGTTTAATAAATAAATAAATAAATAAATAAATAAATAAATAAATAAATAAATAAATAAATAAATAAAATGTGGGAAGTTGAATAGTGTCATGATTTATTAGGTTGAGGAAATCTTGAAGTTAACAGTTTACATGTAGGCACAATCAAGATCAAATAAAGAAATTTAGGACGTATTGCTGCGAAAGAAAATACATTAAATGTTACATTTGTTGTCTCGAAGGCTGCATTAAAGCCCACGCGGGCGACGAGAGGCATTCCATTAATGTGATAAGAGACGGGTCAGGACGTGACCCGGGCGGCACAGACGTGGGCGCGAGCGGGCGTGAGGGCCGCTCCGTGTCGTATGATTGGCGAACATAGGAAGCAAGTTGAAAATGTTACTGCATTATAGAATGACACAAGTTGAATAGAAAAACGTCTGGAGGAGCATTTGAGGTGTTGTGGTGTGAACATACTCACGTAACGTAACCACTTAGATTTAGCGCGTTGAGGTGATTGCCTGCTCGCACAGTCAGTGGCATTTAAACAGTAAGAGCCTACCCGAGCGAGAACTCTCGCGTGTTTTCCCCGCCCTTTCCTTATCCTTTCCATAAGGAAAAAGTTGTTAATGAAACGAGTATATTTGTTACAAAATGTATAAATATAACTTCGTACTTACGCGTGCACACGTCAGCTTCCGCGGCTCGATTCCATAAATTCTTGGCTCTATGGGAGTTGCCACGTCGTTGGCTGAAGGCCGACGTTTCGCCTGCTTGTCGCAGGCTCCCTCAAAGCAGTGACGACTCACTGCCCTGAGGAAGCTTGCGACATGGCAGGCGAAACGTCGGCCTCTCAGCCAACGACGCGGCGTCTCCCGGATAGCCAAGAATTTATTCGTACTTACACAACATCAAACAAAAATAAAAACAATGCAATTGACGTCGAAAAAAAATATTTTGAATAAAGATTCATGCAGTATTACAGAGATATGTTCTTCGAACAATTCACACGTCCTTAAAAACAGCATTTTAAGTAATTATTCAATCTTTCTTGACAATTAGCTTTTCACTTTCCTTGATAGTCACAAAAATAAATTTGAAAATGTTTTTACTCATGAGAAAGACAAAGTTTTTCATGCAAAAATATAGGATCGGCAAGTGCAACTTTACTCTTTGCAGTATTTGCTTGGATTTGTTATCAGGAACAGAGAGGGTTTTAGAAGGGCTGGGCTCCAGTTTGTTGTGCTGAGAAAATTGAAAAAAATATTTGTATACTAAAACGTATTGGATTAATTTCTGCGATTTTACGTACCTCAAGAAAAGCAATTCCGAGTGGAAAAAATAATAAAATTAATATTTTCACCTTTGAGTAATAAATACCATTTGTTACCACTACAAACAATTCAGTAAGCTTAGACTTCACTTCGATACATGGGAATGTTGCTTAAACGATGTTTACGTATTGAATATCAGTGATCCGCCACCTTACCACTTAAATTTAATATCAAACGGTGTATTATTTACAATATGAGTTTACAGCTGGGCATGGATATTCATACTTCCACATACCGCCAACATTTACATCGTGCGTTTGTATGTTGTTGGCAGTTGTCGAATGACTTGCGATATTATTTCTATAATTTTAAATTTGGTTGCTGTTAAATTAATTCACGTTGTATTGTAGGCTAGCGCGTTTTCATTTATGTTCTTCATTTATTTCAAGCTATTTTACTTTAGTTAATTTAAAACGTTTGTTCTTTGTGTTGTGCCATTGACAAGTTTTTCCATACTACCTCCGCGCACTCTTGCGAGAACTCTGGCATGTTTAACCTCACACTCTACCCTATCCTTTACATCCTCTTACAAGGAAAGATGTTAACGAAACGTTTTTTTTTTTGTTTGTTTGTTTTTTGCTTAAAAAGTATAAAGGTAACTTCCATGGTAATAACACAAAGTCAAATGATAATAAAAACAGTGCAGCGAATTACAGCACTGCAGAAAGCAGTTGAGCGAATCTTGAATTAATAATTATGCAAATAAACCTCGTGAATCTGCGCAATCCACGCTGTACTCAGAAAGCGCAAATAGTATAAGATAGAGGAATCTACGCCTTCTAAGCATAACGTCACAAAGATGGCTTCAATCACCAAGGGTTGAAATCTAGGTAGCATTGATAGTATTGATAAGGGCCGAACCAGCAAAAATTTAATAGAATATCCGAGAATATCTCATCCTATAGATTACGATGTGAGAACGTTTCCTTGAGGCCATTGGCCTTCAAATTTTAGCTTTCAAGGCCCTAGAACGTTTAGTTTAGAAGTTATTTAACGATATAGCTAAATGAGTGTTGCGGGTTGCACATATCATGAATTTTTAGATGCGTATTTTCAAACAAATCCTTCATATTTTTAAGGAAGAAGTTGAACTTGCCACGTATCCGTGAAATTCTCTTTCTTAAGACAAAAATCGGTTGCGTGTGATTTTCGCAAAAGGTATGTATACTACTGAAATAAAATAGCAGACTATCATATAGAATGCACACAAGTTCAACAACTGCGGTGGCAGAAAAGCAATTGCCGTAAGGACGTACTTACGCCTATATATCACAGTTTTCGGTTGAATAGTATGTGCATTGATATGCGTAAGGCATAATCAGCTCTAAGTCAAGCAATTGAATAACACTGATTACACTGCACTAAAACAAAGTATGATTTCACACACACGCGTACAGAAATGCTTTGCGAGGTGATCAATGTAAAAAAATGAGTGGGCTTGCGGAGCCCGTATGTGCGTCACGCGACAACTCGAACCCAACACTGAAGAGTTGACGTGTTAGGAGGGTCTACGTAACATTTTCCGTGCCCCGTGCTCACTTTGATTTGTGGGCCAAAGTTTACTGAATCCATTGAATTTAAGTTTAAGAAGCTACAATCATCTAGCGGCTTGTGATTCACAAAACCAAGCCTACAAACGCGAAAAACTACGCGTGGCATACAAAAACACCTGCCATTGGCAAATCACGAACAATAATTTTCAAAAAAGGGTTTTGAACAACAAAATCCTAATGGAATTTATATACAAAGTAAGAACTTTTTTTGAGATGGTCGAGCTGGACTACTTAAAATGGATTGACATGAATGCGAATTGTAGATTACTCATAACTTTGGGAGAGGAGAGAATGGTGGTACGAAAAATCGAAATAACTTCTTAAAACTGAGAGTTGCCCAAATAATTACATCAAATAAAAACTCAAAAAAAAAATAAAAAAATAAAAAAAAAAAATGTTAAGAAAGCGCTGCGGCGCAACTACAAAAAATAATCAGAGATTGCCGAGCAATCACTAAATATGAACAGGGGTTTTCGATCGCTATCATGATGGACATTATAATCACTGATAGTTGCAATCATAATGAAAATACATTATTTTCCCAATCCACCTGAGCTTCATTGTTGCTGGATGTTGCCGCGTGACGCGCGGCGAGGAACAAGAGGTCAGGCGGAGCGGGTGTTCGCAATCTCAACAACCCCACCTCTGAGGGCTCTGTATCAAATTGTTTTGCACATCTACACTTGGTATTCAATATATGAAATCATTATAACATTTAAAGTGTTTGTTTTTCATTTGGTACTAGTATTCTAAATTTATCGTTCTAACATCAGTTTTGAGAACGAAAATCACCCGTTAAGAACTGATAGCGTCCTTGTACTGATAGCCTTTTCTGCACGACAATTAAGTCAGTACATTCATCGAGCGTTAATAAATATAAATCATGAAGTTAAGAAATCATTCGTGTGAATGCTAATTTGAAAAACTGTTTTTGCAGACCTATTATGTGACGAAAAAAGTTTTAAAAAGGGACATCTGTCCTGGTGCACTGTCAATAACAGTAACCAAGGCCATCATGAAAAAAAATTAAAAAATTAAAAGAAGAAAAAATCGCAAAATGTGTCAAAATACAATGCGGCGATCAACACCTGTCACTGTGAACTTTTATAGGACTCGCAAACTGGTTCGAAATTGGTTAGAATTGATCACTGCGTGGCTAAGAATACACTTACAGTCCTTATTACGTAGTATATCCCATGATTATTTTTACTGCTCTGGAAGCCTTTCTTTCGAGCCCCAGTTGAAGTGGCAAACCATGTCTAAAACAGAAGACATGACTGAAGACCGAGAAAAAAAAATCAAGATCAACAGTTCGAGCGATGAGTTAATGGATAAAGGACAGATTGAACGTAAAGGTGATGTGAAAGTGTCTCTCGGCTCTTCAAAGAAGCGACGTAAGTAAATATGTTAACCTACTAATTTTTGACTTGATTCTCGTACATTTTTAATACTTAAACACATTTGTTACAAAATGGAATTAATTTTCTAATTAATCTTATTGCAATGTGAAAAACGCGCTTTAAATTACCGAATGACGTCACGATCGCATGATGTAATGACGCAATTATTATATTGTATTTTTTATATCGCGTGACAGAGTATATCACATTGAATCTGTAATTCGGCGCGAAAATGTCCATAATTGATTTAATTCCTATTTTAAGAAAATGTTGCCAATTAAAGAGAGTTGGCGAGGTATATTCTCAATAACCAAAGAACACTTCAGTTGACTTCATGAGTGGCCAGGCTAGCCGCAAAATTGCCAACGTGATACACGTATCCAACACATGGGCGTACGAATTCCCATGTAACTGTGCTGATGTCAGCTGACGGACACGTTAAATGTGCAGAGACAGTTGTTGATAATGTTTGCCTCCGAGTGAAGAGTAACTAACATTTTTTCACAACATCCGGTTTTCCTGTTAGTGAGAATTTAATCACTCGAAACATTATGTAGCAACATTGCTTTTAGCCTTAATTTTAATTTATGCCGTTGAAATAAAGGATTGATTTTTTAAATTATAGTGTTTGATTACTGCACTTAACACGCCAACGTCTCTATCTTTGTGCAGGTCATCAGAGGACATCTGCATGGAAAGGCGAATTTGTCAAGAAAACAATGTCGAGAAAGCGTCAAAGGGAAGAGGATTTGAATTCTAACGCAACTCCTCATACTAGTGCTACACCACCTCTTCAAATGGTATAATACGGCATTACAGATAATAAACAGTATTGTAATTAATACCCTTCTACAGAGAACTTTTGGAGGTTATTTGTCATTCAGAAATTAATTAAAACTAATTTTTGGAGTAATGTATTGCAATAATCCTTTTGGTGTGGATACAATCTCTTATGTATTGAGTTTCTGGAGAAAATATAAGTTAGATTTGAAAAAAAATAATAATTTAGGATAGCAATTGTCTTGTGTGATTGGCATTTTGAACAAATAATGTCGATGGGGTAGAGACCATGAATAATACAGGATAGTCGGTCATAGAATTACTACTAATTGTTTAATATAATAGTGGGATAACATTGCAGTCACATACCAGAATTTGGCTAAATGTAATAATAAATTATTCTTATAAATACGATTCTTCTGTATAATTCAGGTTTTCAGGCATGAGTATCACTAAGACATTGTGTAGTATATGAAGTGTTGTATGAAAAAATGGTGAAATTAATGTCCTTGTTTATAAAATATCAAATTGTTTTAATTTCAATATTTTAATTTTTGTGTGTGTGTGTGTTTTGTAATGTTATGAAACTTGACTATTGCTGGAAATATTGTAAATGAAGTTATTCTGTCATTGTTGAAAATAAATATTAATAAGCACTTTCATGTTTTCCATTAAGCGGTTTTGGGTTTAAAGGTTTACAATATTTAAAATTTTTGTGGAAAAAAGCAGTCCAAGAAAGTTGTAAAGTTGTGAATAACAGTTACTTTTGATTTGAATTTTGGAGGAAGATTTAGTGAAATATAATCAAGGAATCTTATGAAATCATTTATAGTAAAAGTAAAGCAAGATATTTCAATCAACAAATTCATTGTTTTCATTCAATCCTTTGAAAACCATTTTCATTCCAAACAAACACTTTGTTCTTATTTTTGAACCTGAGGAGATATTTTTGTTGGTTTGGGTTTTTTGAACTCTTATTGTTTAACTGTTGTGATGTGTCCTGTTAGTAATATTAGCATTCATTGTCTCTACTCTCATTATCTTGAGTAACTTCCAAAGGTTGATAAGAGGCCAGAAAGGTCATGTATAGCCTATGGCTTTGAATGGTTGTTTAAGGACAAGGTTACTGGAAAGATTTCATAAGGAAGTTTTCGGGCTTCTGTTTTGTATCTCCATAATTGGAACTTGGTCAGGAATTATCCATTAAGAGATTTTATTGAAAATATTTTATTGACTGGAAACTAGTTACAGCAGTCTTATGAAGGTTCATTGTTATTTTTAAAGGCTTTTTGGCTTGTAACATTGGTAGAATCTTGGACTATATCAATTGAAAAAAAATACTTTTTTCAGTATTTGTCTATTCTTTTTAATATTTCTATGAAGAAGACATGAAAAAGAGAGAAATATATTTCATTGTTTTTTATATAATAAATATTTTGTCTACTTAATGTATACTGTGTAAATTATTTTATTTTTATTGGATTTTTTCAGTCAATATTTAAGGCAGCTCCATTTAGTGATGATTTGGAGGCCGTTGCAGAGAGAAAACGTTGTGATTATTCACTCAGAATCTCTTATAAAATGGCAAAATCAGGAAAAGGTAAGATATAATATTATGAAATTTGTATGTACTTAATTTTATTGATGAAAATCATTTAAAACTCAAAAGAAAAAATTTTGTTAAGTGTATGGGCCACAGAAAACTATGGGGTTCATTAAAACAAGGTCTTAATATACATACGCAATAACTCAAGTAACAAACAAGCTCAACTAACAAATTCAAGAAAATCTACATGACAGTATCTATATAAGTATCAGAGAATACATAGAAGTGTTTCATTGATAAGTTGTTTAGTAACTATCAAACTTATTCATTTGAATGAAATGTGATATGTGAAAACGTTTTTTAAATCAATTTTTTTTTACTCTATATTAGTTTCTAAGTATTTTTGATATATTTATCATCAGTTGGTTTTTGTTATATTACTGTTGTAATTTCAAGTAAATATTATTTTTCTATTTTAATATGATTTTCTTTCTATTTTCCAGTGACTCGTCCAATTCGGGTATATGCAGATGGGATTTATGATTTATTCCATCAAGGACATGCCAGACAATTAATGCAAGCTAAAAATGTATTTCCTAATGTATACTTGATTGTTGGAGGTAAGGATATTTTAAACAATTTACTGGCGATAAAATGTGTTGAAACTATTTGAGTATTATATGTAAATGAATTATATAAAAGGTCATGAAATATTGCTTTTTACCGTATTCAGTTAAAATAGAGAATGCGGTTTGCCCTCTAGGGAGGGGTCTCCTTAATCCCTCCCTCAAATTACACTAAGCACTCCGACAGAAATTAACAAAACTTACTTTTTGGGTATTGCTCAGCTTTTCGAAAATTGCCTTTCCTTTAACCACTGAGATGCCGGAATTTGATTCCCATAGAATCGCCATAGAATCTCATGTGAAATTTTTTACAACAAAACAAGTTTGCATGCTTCACAGGGGTTAGTCCGTTCCCAATTGTGGCCGATGGTAGATGAGGCAGGGCGCGTGCGAGGCGCAAGCTCGAAAACGCTACGTATTGGCTACTTATTTTCTGACTTGATTGTGACTGAAGGGGCTTGACTATAGGCTCTCACTTGGCTAATTGCAAGAGGAGTGGGGGTTGAGTTATTTTGAAGAAAGGAACAAATTTGTAACAATCTGTAAAAAAGTTGTAGTTTGTTTTTGGATGCAAAATAGTTTCTATTTCACAGGAGCAGATATTTCTGATTATCAGATTTTGTCTACAATGCTTGTTGCTATCATTTATTCTTAATTCAATCAATACTGGCAAAGGAGTGGGTGTAGGTATTCCGGGGCTCAAGAAAAGGTGTGTGTATTATGATCTTTATTTAAGCGTATATAATTATGGATAGTTCAGTTAAGGAAAGAAGAATATTATGAAGGAATAATTCATTCATTCAAAAGGTAAAAAAAAAAAAAAAAAAATGTATTAAAAAGTCAAATATAAAATATAAGAGCTGAGCTTAATTGTGGTCTAACCCCTACAAAATGAAAAATGAGTTATTGACACCATTTATTATCTAAGAAGGTGAATAATGTTTATACTTTTCTGCTTTGACCTTTTTCCCTCTATTTTAAATTAAGAATGAAGGAACTATTTTTTCTCTGTATGCTTTCTAACCATAACTATACCACTTTAATTTGATTTTTCTCTGTTTTCCTAAAACCTGGCTGAGATTACTACTGCGCTGACCCACTTCAACATCAAATGCACAAAACTGGTTAACGATTATCCATAAAATTAATAAAGTTTAAAAAAGTATTAAAAACTGTCTCACAAAAGTGTGTAAAATAATTTTAATAATTAAATTTGTTTAAAGAATTGGATGCCCTAACAGGAAGTCGAACCCAGGTTAATATATATATATATATATATATATATATATATATATATATATATATATATATATATATATATATATAAAATAGTTTTACTTCCATTAAAATATCAGTTATAAATCACATATTTTAAAGGAAAACAAGAGGAGCCTTTTAAAACAGTATATTTAATGGTAATTCCAAAATGAAAATTTTCAACAGCAATTCTTCAGTGCAGAAATTTAGTAAAAGACTCTCCATGCTTGTAAGCAAGGCTCCTTAAAAGCACAAGCCTAATTATAGCATGTTTTCGTCAAAAAATATAATTTGTTGCCTTTCCTTTGAAGAAAAGCATCATGAGTTATTTAATCATTAAAAAAACTTATAAAAAATTTTGAATTTTGTTATTAAGAATGGTCAGAAAATATTTCAGAATTTTAAATGTAGAATAAGAAACTCATTCAATTCCTTTAAAAATATTTTGTGAAGAATTTTGCTTAATAATATGTTTTACTTAGAAGTTTTAGGTAAAGCATTTGCAAAAAATCTTATTATTCAACACTTCATCTTGAACAAACACAATGAAATTAATATGATTTAGTTTCAGTAAATAACTCGATGGCCTCTGGCTTCTTTCTGTCAGATTCATCCTATTGACACAAAATTGCAAATATAAACAATAGAATTGTGTAAAAAACTTTTCTAGGCAATCATTTCCAAAGGTTCCATGGGTATAAAAAATGTAAGCAAAAATTTGAGCAAAATATAAAAAACTTTTTTTTTTCGCTACCACAGTATAGTTCTGTAATGCTGTGCAACAACAACAACAACAACAACTAATTTTTGTCAGAAAAACTCATCTTACTGGGCTCTGGAAAACAAAAATTAGGATAAATCCTGTTGCTAAATTTGGAGAGAGAAAAATTAACCGCCAAACCGTTCAACTGATTTTGTCCAAAATTGATATGCACCAATCAATCTGGCTGATGTCGCGGCTGCTTGAATTTGAAACTTATATTTTTATTTTCAGGGGTACTTTACGTAAGTCCCTAAGGCCTTTCTCAAAATTTTCAAAAATATGGCGACATCAATTTTGATTAAATTTTGTTGTTGGATAGTCTGTTTAGAAAATGGTGGTTTAGAAGAAAAAGGAAGTTTTAGAAAATGGTGATGGTCTTGTGTTGGTAAATAAATCTGATTTTTCAAAAATTGAACAAATTCAAAATTTGTTCAGTGGCTTCCTACAACTACAATTATAAAGATAAATTTGTTTTCTCTTCATGAAATGTGTTCATTAAATTTGATCTTCAAAGGGTTTTTTAAAAAAATATATTTTTTTATGTGATTTTTTGGGGCCAAATTTTGCGTGAAACGTAAGCAAGTAGTATTTTCTGTAAGCCATTTTTTCTTAAAAACGGCAAAACATTCTTTGATTAAATTAAGTGGACCTTGGATATCGTAAAGGACAATTAAAAAAATAGGGCAGGTATCATGTTTGTTCATAATGCCTGATTTTATGAAAATTAAAAAAAAAAAAAATACAATTTTTTTCTTAATAAAATGTGTTCATAAAAATCAGATCTTCGAATAAGGTCAACTAATAAAAAAAATGTACATATTCTTAATTAAAGAACTACATATGGTGAAACAATTATAATTTAAGGAAAAATCTCTATCTTTAATTTTCTTGTGGTGTGAAGATACTGAAAAAAATTCAATCTGTTGAAATTTTCGAAAATTTAGAGTTAACCCTGTCAACCTTACCTATGTTACTTTTATAAGTATATTTTTCTCTATTGTTACAAGAAATTTAAAGACAAAATCTGGAGCTGCTGTTTGATACAATTTTGAAAAACATCCTATTCATGGTTTAGGTGCTAGTAGTGGTCAAGGCCCCACAGACGGAGGTGTGATGGACGGCTGTCAATTGGTTTTTCCATATCAAGGGCCCACAACACAGGGATTCTGGCTACACATGTTAGATGATTTTTTTCTCTTAATTTAGCAATTGGATTTATCCACTTTTTCATTATCATGGCCTGGCAATGAATTTTTTCCGCCAAAAATCCGCCATTTTGTGTGCAGCATTACATAGCTTTCCCTATACTACGTATGTAACTCCGCATGTTCATATGTATACGAGAAGTAAAACAATTTTATAATTTTCGAACATTCTTAGGCTAAATCCGTGAAGTACAGAAATTAACAAACATTGTTTCATCATCATCAACTAAAATCATTTAGGTATGATTCTGTTTCTGTTTGTGCTGGTTCAGTAGACGTAGTAGATTAATCTTCTAGGTGTTCCTAATTTCTCTGTTTCCAATTCGACTGTATTTCCAGATGAGTTTTCGCAGCCAGCTATGTATTTTTTCCATCTCTTTTGTGGTTCTTCAGTATGTTCTATTAGATTCTTGATTTTTAGTTTTCTTCTGATGTCCTTGTTTCTCAACATTTATCTTCTCCCGACTCCCAAAAGGTGCCTTAGGAATGTCATTTGTGCTGCCTGTCTTTTCCGCTTGTCGTTTATGTTTCTGAACCATGTAGAAGCATTTGTTTAGCAATGATATTATGAAATTTCAATTTTGTGGTAGAATCTATATCCTTCCCAAAGAGTCTTTTAATGGTTCCACACATTCTGTAGTAATTATGTAGTTTTCTCTTGATGTCTCCTTGAGTGTGGTTTAGTACATTGATTGTTTCCTAGGTAAGTGAATTCTCTTACTTCTTTACTCGTTCCATTTTTTTTTCCAATTTTAACTCTTCTTTGTTCCTTTTCTTGCATTGCCATGGATTTCATTTTGTTTATTGATATTCTCGTGGAATATTCCTGTGCTACTTTTGATAGTTCAAAAATTCTCCTCTGTAAATTGTCTTTGGTTTCTGGTACTATTACCTGATCATCTGCATACAGGATTGTGTCAATCTTTCTATCTCCTTTGATTAAAATTTCCTGGTTCATATTCTTCCGACAATTCCTTATTAAGTGGTCAATATAGATGTTGAAGAGAACCGGTGATAAACCACAGGCTTGTCTGAGGCCACTGCTAGTTGTTCCTTTCCTAGCTGTGCTTTTATTCTGAATTTCTCATAAAAGCTTTGTACTGCTTAATTGTATCATTGGTAAGTTAAATATTGTAGGAAAGCCAAGGAGCACAATATTTTTGGCAAAAATTTCAAACTATTTTCCACAAATAAAATAAAATGTATCCCCAGAATGGGGATTACTGTTAATGGCATGCAAAAACATGTTTCCAGCGAAAATTGGCCCTTAGATGGCCGCCTAAATCAAAATTATGATGTTACTGGGAGCGTAAATAATATCCAATTGCTATTAAATAAAGTATAATGTCTTTTCCAATCTTTTATTACATTAATGACAAAAACAATTTATGATCATTTGTCCTCTCGGTTAATATACCACACACACAATAGTCTAGTGTATGATGTTAATTAGACTTGTGTACAATGTTTACCACATACATTTCTAGTAGAAAAAAATAATGTCCCTGAATTCTGGCCCAACCCTCGTATAATTCAGTGTGTTTTTTCACTTAAGAAACTCAACATAATATGATTCACATTCCATTAAACTGCTTGTGTGAACTTTTGAGAGTTTAGTTAGGGCAGTGTGTTTTCTTTACAAACAATCACGGGTATATTTTCTGTGCTGTACCACTTAATCAGTCATTGGAGTGTCATTGTGGAGTAGTTCTCTAAAGTATTTTATCCATGTTTCATCAGATACTTTATACATGCTAATGAGTTCATTTATCTGTCCTCTGGCCTCTAATGAATCTCCAGATATTTTTTGTTGCTCATAGAAGACATCTTGAAGTCACATGGTGAAGGAGATTTAGTAATCTTTGTTCATTTTCTCTAATCGTTATTTAACTATTCGTTCATTAACTTTGTTCCTGATATTTTTATATTCTTTGTGTTTCTGGTATGGTGTTTCTGGTGTGTATATTCCAATCTTTTCTTTTGTGCTGTATTGTTTACTTCTTTAGTAAAACAAGTTTTTTTTTTCTATAATTCCTACGGCCTCTTTAGCTGCTTGAATAATATTTGTTTTTATTTATTCTGAGACATTTTTATGTTGTCATTATCTAGGACTGAATTGTGAGATAATTTTGTCATCCAGTCCCTGTTTTTATGTAGATATCTGGTAGATTCATCACTTAGTACTTCATTGATTACCTTTTGCATGTGCTTTGGTTTTTCTTTCGCAGTCTTTTTCTTCATAATGAACATTCGTAGTTTTATTAATACCAGTTTATGATCACTCCTAATATCCGCTCCTGATATCTAGTATCTGGGATGGGTGAATTTCCCGATTGGTAAGTATAAAGTCCATGGTGGATTTTTGACCTCTTGTGTTCATCCATGTAGTTTTATGCTGTTCTTTATGATCAGAGAAAGTATTATTTATTCTTATTTCGTTTTCAACGCAGAAATCTATAAAAGTTTCTCCATTTTCATTGAGATTATGTTTATTGAACTTGTTCTTAATTCCCGGGATGATGTTATTTCCTACTTTGGCATTTCGATCACCCGCTATTACTACCGGTTCTTTAAGATTGTTTTGGCTGATTGTTTCTTAGAGGTCATCATAGAATTTCTGTTTTTCGTGGAATGGTTTATTATTTTTTGTTGCGTATATGGATATAATGTTGATTGATATAGATTTATTTGCCAATTTCGCAGATAATAATAATAATAATAATAATAATAATAATAATAATAATAATAATAATAATAATA